CAACTTAAAGGTTAAACCTGAGGAACTGCAATTTTTATTATCACAACTGCATAGCAAAATCATGTCCAGATAACAGACATACCAAAATCCTGTAGAGTAGGATAACTTGTAAACCATTTACTATGTCAATTTAGAGCAACACAAATATGTCCAGGTAATAACTGATATAGGTTAATAAACAAGGTTTTAAAAATGTTTTTCAGTAAAGCAGATATCTACCAAATGCAACCAACACTTGAGCCATCTGGTTGTTGGGAAAGAGTTATTTCAGCCAACTTCACTCTGCATGGGGTACCTGGCTGTCCTTAATGGAAAGTGTAAATCACTGATGGAGAAGGAGCTAAAGTAATTTGTTTATTTAAGCTTCCACTCTACATGTGGATGCTATGGAGGAAGTTATGTAGTTGATGAGAAAATATACAAAGACTCAGTCATGCACAGAGTAAATTAATAGTAAATGACATTTTAATAGGAAGTCTTTAAAAAATCATTTAAAAATCACTGGTAATAACAACTTATGAGCATGCTTTTTTTTTTTTTTCAAAATAAAGAGCATTTACAAGTATCCACACACTTACAGCCATTATTAGTGAAAAGCATCCCTTTTACAGAGGACTTCATTTCATTATACTCCTCACAACAGCCCTGTGAGGTAGGCTAAACAATGTACAATATTTTAAGTAAGGCAATATAGACCCAAAGGTGGTGAGTGACTTACAAAGAGGTCATAGTTTACTGCATGGGAGAGCTATAATGATTCATTTTAAACACAAGAATGCCAAAAATCCTAAAGACTAGCAGCTTTTGCTGACATTATCCCCCAACTTTTGCTATTATAACTTAGTAGAATCAGTTATGAATTAGATTTTATAGAGACTCCATCAAAAGATCAATTAGACTAAGTGCTTTGGTACCTCAGAGATACTGGAAATGTTCAAAGACAATTTTCTCATAGTCCTGTGCTCTCCAAAAAGTTCCAATATTATTAAAACACCTTTTACTAAGCTCTTCCAATATGATTTATTTTATAATTGGTTCATAATTCCAGACAAAGCAAATACATTCACTGACCTCTCTGCCCTACATACTGCAAATCCTCTACATACTTTTTCCTAAGCACCAACTGAAATTAACTGAGTATTATTAAGAAAATATATAACTTTAAACAAATATAACTTCAATGATGATGTGTCAAAGTCAGTGTATTATATTAACCCAGGAACAAGTACTCTTAATATGGTTGGGTAGTCAAGGTAAAAGTTCTATGGTAATTTCTGGCACTGATTACCTGGCCAATATTATTAACATTCATATGCCATGGATAACCTTTTAATTCAAACTACAGCAGCAAACAATCCACTTAAATTCCAACTGATGGAGATTTCCTATGGTATTCAGGTTAATCAGGCCTTACAGGTAACACAATACTGACATGAGAATCACAAATGTGAACACTGTTAAGATACAGATAAAACTAAAAATACCAAACACGAGCTAATGTTGCTGTGATGATTTTATATGAGAAAAGCTTTATTACCTACTGTAGTTCTGAGTGCTGGAGTTAGGAAAGGTATATCTGGTTGAAAATGGCAACTTGATGTGACCTGGATACTAAGGAAATTCATGCTTACCTTTGAAAGACTTCATATAGTGTAAAAATAAAACCAGGAAAGAAACTTTCTAGACTTGTGGTTGCAATATAAAAGTATAGTGTTACTATGTGCAGCTAATTTGATAGTTTGTTTTTTTACAAGCTACAACAAATCTAAATTTTTTAAAGTTATACTGTGTGTGTATGTGCACATGTGCATGTGTGTGTAGGTTAGAGGACAGCTTGCAGGAGTTGCTTCTCCCCTTCCATCTGCATCCCAGGGGACACATTGAGTCATCTTGGCAGCAAGCTCTTTTCTGGTGATCCATCTTGCCAGCCCATAATGTACTATTTTTTTTAAGAAGTTTAATGACATATTAACAAAACATTATTTTTAGACCAAGACTATAAAATCAAAAAGAGCGGAAAGCGGTGTTATGGTGAATTAAACTCTACTAATTTTGGAAACCTGGGTAGAAAGTAACAAAACTGATGCCATATCATAGAAACTCAAGTATTGTCATATGAATTATATGCTGATCGAACAAAAGTGCTAAAAATCTATGACTAAAACAGTTAAATTTTTAGCCTAGAGTAATATGAGACTGACACACTACTACCATACTTAGGTATCTTGGCCTTGAGTAATATATTTCATGGTAAGAAGTCTATATACTGTCTTCTTTTAAGATTAATATTCTTTGGAGTAATCACTTCCCATATACATCCCTTTCCAATTGTTTAAAATTGTTTTTTTTTAAAGAAACACCTGCAAATACATAAATAGCTATAATTTCATGGAAAAGATACATAGAAAAAAACTAATCATTCTAGGTAAGTCAGAAAGTAGAATATCTTGACCTAATTAAAATATTTCATCACAAATTTTTTTATTATTTATACCAAGGACCAATCATGGAAGTTCAGATTACACATAATATTGTTGATAATTTGATCCCATAAATGAGACAATGACTGTAAGTCAGTGTCTCATTTTAGATTACTCAGAATAGCGTTTTCAGAGCAGAGTGAGAAGGTCACACCTGTCTAGCATTTTCCTGTCACATGCCAGAGGTGCTATCAATTAAACCCACAGACAGACAAATTATTAATACTTTTTTTTAAACCTATACCCGGAACATTCAAAGGATCACTATATATTAAATTTCTATGTGCATTAGTCATTAAATTCTTGGTATATTACATATTTAACAAAATTTAAAAGACATGACACAATCAGCTGAGGCAAGTGAATTGTTGCAGAATTTTTTTCTAAAGTGCTTAAGGCAGCTCCTTCCTGTCTATTTCCAGCTAAATAAAACTGGGTTGGAATTCTACTGCTAAAGGGAAATACAATACTTAATACATGTTTTATGAAACAGTTTTTTTTTTTTTACACCAGTGGTATATCCATTACAGTCCACCTTGCCTTCATTTCCTCCTTGGCAAACCATGGTCTTGAAGTGGGCGAGCAGACACAGGGGCACTGAACAATGCTGGAGAGGCTTGCCAGTATTCCACAGCAGACTAGGCTGAGTCTGCTCAGTATTTTTAACTCTATATGCTAATGAGGATGTTAAATATTATGATCAAGTTAATAGTTACCTTATTTTGAAATGATTTAAGTAGGCACTATATTCAATTATTTTTAATTTAAAAACAAGGGTAAGAAACTTCCATTTAACTTAACTTAGGTTTTTTAAACTAAAATACCATTTTTTTTTTTTTTAAATTAAGAGACAACAAGAACGGGACAGAAGAAATACCTCTGATGCTTATTTTAAAGTAATGAAGGAATAATCAGTAGCAAACATCACGTGATAAAATCTTGTAGTCTTATTCACTGACTTTATACTTTGTATTACTAATCCACCAAGAAGCAAAATTTTCCCAGTCAAAGTCAAGCATTTTCCAATGAATGTGTCAAATTTTATATGAAGGTCTCAAATGATGGGACCAGAACAAGAAAGACCCACACATCCTCCTCTAGCCCTGGACAGAAAGCCCTCACCACTGCAGTACAATGCTGCCTGGCTTAAATTCGGTTGACAGTGAACTTGTGTAGAAGAAAAAGGCACTATATAAATGAGAAGACACAACTATGTAAGATATAATTATAATGAAAAAGTCTATATAAGATCAGTTGGCCTTTTCTTGTCATTTTTGACAAATTATATTGAGTAGCCACACAGAGCAATTCTAGTAACTTACTGCTTTCAGGTATGAGTCTATAAAAATGAGCAAATCATTTTCCTTAGGTCAGGAAATAACGGGTATAACTCTGAAAAATGTCCTTCCAACTGTGAGAAAGGAAAAGTAAAATACTGCTTTGGGGAACCAAAAGAATATTGACATACTTCATTCTGTAAACCACTTTAGTATTAGAAACTACCAATGTGTCATCAGATGATAGTGTAGGTAATTGTTATATGGAAAAAATAATAGCCTAGGTCAAATTCATTTCATCAACAGAACAAATACAATCATGCCAGTAGGCAGTACATTTTAAGAGCAAATACTTATCACTATCATACAAACTACATACAGAATGCAACAATGGACACTTCTCCAGGGAAGTTTGCCAAAGCCTAAGATACTTAAGAAGTCTCAAAAATTAATCAAAAGTCAAATTTTCATTTCTTTAAAGTTCTGAAAGCAGTTTTATAATTTTAACTTCTACTTTGGTTCAAAAACTTGAGTTAAAAGTTTTAACCAACTTTGTAATAGAAGGTTTTTCTGTTAATAACTACAGCTTTACTCACTGTTTCACACCCTTCCTTTGGGAAATGTGTGGGCTTTGGAAAGACATCTATGTTCATTTTTGGAAGAATCGTAAACAGTGAATGAGTAGCACAAAACACACACACACATACACCAAAAACTTCAAATGATTGTTAAAAAACATACATATCAATTAAGTCAGACACGTGTAGTAGTTTTTTTTTTCAAAACAGCTAAACCATTCCATATCTTTGTAAAAAGAACATATAAATTATCCCAGAAAAGAATCAAAAATATTTCTTTATAATCTTTCATAGACAAAAAAATTGGTAACGTACAGCTTTTTACCCGTTATAGGACATAACAAACTTTCATTCTTACTAGTAAGGGTAAAAATAAGCAATTATCATCAGTGCCAAATTTAGGAGGAAATTTTATCAATGGTAGCTTTAAGAGGTGGGATTAAAGAGAACAAAATCAGAAAGCCAGCTTTTCACATGGTACCCAGGAGCCAGGGAGGAGCAGAAGGGAGACTCAACAGAAGCACACATGAAGGATGCTCCCTTTGCGATGTCTAAATTCTTCCTATCTGCTCGATAATGAGTTCTAAGAACACTATCACTGTTTTAGGAGAAAACTTCATGAATTTAGTCAACAAATAAGTTACGTATCAAAAGCTCAGCTTATTTATAAAAGGGTGAAGTAAGCCATTGTAAGGAAATTTCTCTGTCATCCCTAGGCAATAATTTAAATTTCTAGGAAGCCTTAGGGGACCTTGTGTTTTTAAAGCTTCAGTGTAAGGAATTAATAACAGCTAGTGAGGAGAAAGAAACAAGAACAAGGCAAGGAAGAAAGGCAAACTTTGCAGCTCAGGCCCTGGGTCACCATATAGAATTACACCTACTAGATGAGCCACAGTAGCAATAAGGAACAGAAAAGTGGATTTCTACATAAATACTCAGTACTGCCCTTTTCCTACTACTACTCCAATACTTGCTTCTGTGACACTGAGCTGCCTCCTATTTGGTGCTCAGTCTAGTGGATTCCAGGCTTTAAAGCAGACATAGCAAACCCATTTCCAGCACTCAGAAACCTCTGTGCTAGAAGCTGCGTGGAAAGGCCACCCAATCCAACAGGAAGGGTGAACAGTCTGGGTGTCACTACTGAGTGACATTGTTGAGGCTGCTGGCTGAACCAGTCATTCCATTTTCACTTTTCTGAAGTGTTCTCACAGCACTTGGAACCTGCATCCCAGTACTCAGAGAGAGTCCACCACACCAGACCTAAGACAAGACAAAACCTCAGTTAGACTCAATCAAACTGAACTGCAGGAACCCTTAACTTTCCATTTGAAAAGCAAATGTCACATGTATGAACATCAACAAATTTCAAACTGTAAGTTTCATGTTTGAGCTAAAGAGGAACAGAAAGGTTCATAGTGGCCAAAGAGAGTCTTCAGTAGAAGCCACTGAAACTGCAGCTAATAAAGGGAACTTGAGGAAGCAGAAACTCAAGAGACCAAACTGGAATAATTTCAGCAGACGTTGACTGTTGGTACTCCCCTAACTTTTAGAACCAAGGGACATGCACCCCAAAGAAACTTCCTTATCTCACTTACTATTATTTTACTATCGAGGCATAGCTTTAGATACAGGATATATGGGACAGTGAGATGGCTTCGCAGGTAAAGGCACTGTTTATGCAAGCCAGACAACCTGAGTTCCATCCTTGGAACTCATAGTCAAAGCAGAGGAAGCAACTCCTGAAAGGTGATTTCTACATGCACACTGTGGTCCATAATCTCTCTCTCTCCTCCTCCATCCCTTCCTTCCTCCCTCTCCCCCCTCCTCTATTTTTCTCTCTATTACACAACCACTGACATAAAGTTTAAAAATTGACAAATGGGCTTATGAAAGATAAAGCCATTTTTTTCTTGTGAAACATAGCCTTATTATTCAATAACCCTAAAAGACAAGAGACTTAAAATAGGAAAATAAGGACCATCTAAATTATTAGCTACCATGTATGTAGCAAACATGGGCTACATACATGGGCAAGGAAAATTCTAGAAATTAAGTATTTCTACTTTCAAATGTGCCCTGAAGTGCTTACTACTAACTAGAATATTGCACTGAGGATTAATTATATAGCTAACATTTAACATTTTAAAAACTAGCATGCTTGATAATAATAAATTCCTCAAATGTAAAAATATTCCTCAGAAATAGACATATTAAGTTAACTGTTTTAACTATTTAAATGATTCAGGAAAAATATTTAACTATCTAGCAGAAGAGGGCTGGCCATATGGCCGAGCAGTCAAGAGTACTGATTGCTTTCAAAGAGCTGGGTTAGTTTCCCAGTACCCACATGGTAGCTTACAAACATCTGTAACTCCAATTCCAGAGGGTCTGGTGCCCTCTTTGGCATCAGGAATGAATGAGATGGACATACAATCACTGCTTACTTAGGGTTTCTATTGCTGTGATAAAACACTACGAACAAAAGCAACCTGGGAAAGAAGGAGTTTTTCTTATATTCTGTATCATAGTCCATTATCAAAAGAAGTCAGGGAAGGAACTCAAGGCAGGAAACTAAAGCAGATGCCATGGAGAGACTGGTCACTGACTTATTTCTTATAATGTTGATCACAGAGGTTTTCGCTCTTGTTTTTTCAAGTTTAGTATTTTTAAGTTTTCCATTTAAGTCTCTGATTGAGCTATTTTGAGTTGACCTCTGACTCAAGGGAAAAAAATGTGTACAGTGGCTTTATTTATGTGTTGTCCAATCTAGAAAAAAACCGAAATGTCCTTGACTTGGTAAACAAACAAATAAATTGTGGTACAAGTCAAGCATGCAGGCTCATACCTGTAAGCCAAGCATTTGCGAGACAGCCAGGAGGATTCCAGGCCAGCCTAGTCTCCAAATAGATCTTGTCTCAAAATAATTCGAGGAAGGGACATAGGCTAGTGGTAGAGTGTTCCCTTAGCATGTGCAGGGCCCTGGCTTCATTCTACTCACTGAAACTACCCAGCACCCACAGCACCTACAGATATGGAGCAGTGAAGCTTACAGTCACATGTGCTCTGTTATAGCATCAAAAGGCTATATATCATACAACTCCATCTATATGACAGTCTCAAAAAGCCAAAACTACAGAACTGAAAATGGTTTACTTATTGTTTAGGTGGGTTGTGGTGGGAAAGTCTTGCTACATAGGAGCATGCCAGATTTCTTACAATGCCAACTGTTCTAAATCCTGATTTATGGTAGTGGCTACATGACTATAGGCATCTGGCAAAACTCAGAAGTGTACAATACTATATGTAAATTATTCCTTAATAAACCTAACTTTAAAAGTTAACCTTGTGTGCAAACAACATCCACAAATAAGTTAATAAAACTAGGCTTCCTTCCAAGGAAGGGAAATAAAGAGGTTTAATAAGTTTAATACCATTTCTTCAGGTTATCTACCTACATTATTGTGTAATTATACTTATTTGGAATAAAAAATAATGGCTAAAATCAATAAATATCTATGTAAAATGCATTCATATTTAAAATGAATTATAATAGTATAGCTAAAAATTAGGTAAAGTGGACTCTGAGTTATATATGGTAAACAATTTGATTTTGACTGATTCAATGCAAAAAACAACCAAAAGTACATATTATATTAGAGGTTTGTGCCAAAGTTCCCAAAGTGAAAAAGAAACATCTCTTCCAATGTATTTTTAAGAATTTTTCATGAGCTGAGCAGTGGTGGCACATGTCTTTAATCCAAGCACTTGGAGCACTTAGGAGGCTGAGGCAGGTGGATCTCTGAGTTCAAGGCCAGTCTGACCTACAAAGCAAGTTCCAGGACAGTCAGGGCTACACAGAGAAACCCTGTCTCAAAGACAAACAAACAAACAAAAAAAGAATTTTCTATGAGCAACAATTTTGTCCATTTATCACCATATGTTTTAGTGGGAAACAGACTGCATTGGTTATTAGGATTGTGAGATTTAAAAGTAAATGCACAATCTAAATCTGCATTCTCAAACGGAGTGTTAACACCTGCACTAAGGATGGAAGAGCACCTGTGTGTAACAAACAACGAAGAGGCACTTGAAACACATTACACCAACTGGAGAGGTAGCCCCTAAATTAGAAAAGTTTTATTCATACCAATGGAGCCTTTCATGGATCCCAGAACTCCCTACAGTAACCCAATTTTACCAGAGAAAAGCAGATAGCTACAGTGTTAGAAGCATTTCATTAAAAAAAAATTAAAGACATGTTTCATTTTGTGTGGAGAAATATGATTGTTCTCCACAAATCAGCCTATAGTAATTCAATAGGCCTGAAATCACACATGTGTCATATTCTCCAAATGAAAACACCCAAATAAAGTACTCCACCTGTATTAGAATGGATAGACTATGACAGTCACATTCTGAACAAACTAAAACCATGGGGCACATGGACAAATATTACAGATACAAGGTTGAGCCAAAATGATACCATATAGTTCCATAAAGCTGAATAGGAGGCTAAATGAATTAGGAGCGTTAGAGTCAAGACAGTGGCTGGCTCATCCAGAAGAACCTCTGGGGTAATGGAGGCGTGCACAGGACACCACAGGCTGCATTGATGCTTGGGTATTAGTAAAAAGGTTGAGTACAGTCACGTAAATATTCATGCTTGTGATTCTGTGCCTTTGTGTGTTAGTACTGACTTTAAGAAAACATACTGAATATATACAAAAATTTGGAAAGGGTGGGGGTGGGGAAAAGGAGAAAAATACAAAGGGAGCACAGTAACTCTGCTTCCTCAAACACTACAGCATATACTATTCTCAAAATTGCCAAGCCAAATAATACTAACCATGAAACCAGGCAGTACTGGCTGAGTAAATTTCGTCTTGAAGGAATATAGCAACTGCTTTGAGTGTGCATCATAGAAAGAAAGCTGACCTAAAAGGATAAAAGAAAGCCTAATTTATTTTCCAAAGTTATAACATCTGGGTTCAACATGTGATCATGTCAAAAGCTTTATTCTAACATTAATTTTTGTTACAAATTGTATATGAACTATACTTAACAATTATCATAAAAAATCTAAGCCAGTTGGTGGTGGCACATACCTTAAATTCCAGCACTCGGGAGGCAGAGACAGGAAGATCTCTGTGAGTTGTAGGCTAGCCTGGTCTACAAAGCTAGTTCCAGGACAACTGGGGTTGTTACATAGAGAAACCATTCTCAAAAGTCCCTCCCAACCCCCCCCCCCCAATCTAACTCTAGTTTTCTCCTGATCTTCAAGACCTTAGTCATATCCACAATCTTTTAAGCTGGTACACAAGTAAGTGTGGTTTTTATACTGTTGAAATTTGCCATCAACATATTTAAGAATGCCATACAATTCTCAAATAATTATGGTTATATTATATATCACTTTACTGCAGATTTCTCTTTGTTTCTTGCTACTGACATTATTTGCTGTTTTAACTATGGAAATGTTAGACAAAAAGCACAATCAGTTTTCTCACATATGTTCAAAACTGGTTGTAGAGCAGCACATACAGCCCACATCATCAACAATGTGTCTGGCAGAGGTAAGCTAGTGAACGTGCACTACAGTGGAGACGAGGAACACAGTGGTCAGCCTTCACAAAATGGCAGTGACCTTCTTACAACCAATTACACAAGAAGTTGCTAAGCAACTCAACAGGACCATTTGATGGTAGTCTGCTTTTGAAGCAAATGGAAAGGTGAAAAGACTGGATACGTGGATGGATGTCTCTAAAACTGACCTAAAATGAAAAAGTTTTCAACTGTTGCCCTCTCTTATTCTATGCAAACAACCATTTCTCAATGTGACTGCAACATGTAAGGAAAAGTAGAGTCTATATGACAATCAATGATGATTAGCTCAGTGGTCGAACCAAGAAGTTTCAAAACACTTGCTAAGGGTTCAAGTGTGTGCATGCATGATCCTCTCCTCTCTCCTTCCCTTTTTCCTTCCCTCCCTCGCTCTCCCTCTCAAAAAGTCATGGTTACTGCCTGGCACTCTGCTGCTGGTCTGTTTGATCAATCTGTCAAACCAACCCACCTGAGAATTATGCTTAGGAAACCCATGAGATGCATCAAAAACTGCAATGCCTATAGCTGGCCCTGGTAATCCTCCACGAAGGGCCTGACCTTACATTAAACAACCAACACTTCAAATACAGGGCAAACAGGACTACCAAGTTTTGTCCACCACATCTACCCAATAACACATTGCTGCTTATTCAAGAACCTAGAAAACTTTTTAATAAAAAAAAAAAAATGTGGAATTAGCAGGATACGAAAGTTAGTCAAATCCCTGAAGTGGAGATTTTTATACTACTTGAATAAAAATAAACATTTTTTATTGGCAAAAGTTGTTATCTTTATGGTTCCTAATCTGATTATTAAAAATGTCTTCAAGCCTAGCTGTAATGATTTAAAATTTATAGAGCATCATCCACCCAATAACATTATTCTACTTATTCCACACCAACTGTCTATCTTATCACCAACAAAAGGGTTTTACTAGCTCACTAAGTGCTAAGATTTCTTCCTTCTCATAGAGATTGTGCCAAATTCAGCTTTTAAACTTCACTCCATTGGTTTGCAAACCACTTAATTCACAGGCACATTCCATTTGCAGTCTGTCAGTCTGTCTGATAACTACTTAAGTCACAGGCACACTGCACCCCATTCAAAGCCCCTCTTTCAGCGCATCTTACCCTGACTTCCTGTTTGACCTTATACTTGCTCTCTCGTCTGGAGGTTCCCTTTGATGGCTCTCCCCTTGATCTGTATTCTAACCAGGTTACTTTACTTGTCTCTTTTTTCATCTATTCTAAATATAGTTGTTTTGTCCAGTTTCTCATTTTCTCTGTAAGCTGTTCCTAAAAAAAATCAACTGCCACCAAACAAGAACAGAAAAAAAGCAATATTCCTATGTACTTTCACAGAAGTAAAAGCACTTTACACATACTATTTTGTATGTATAAAGTATATTCAAATACAAGCAAGTACAGGGAAATTACTTTTCAGTAAAATGAGTACACTTACCCCCATCAAAGTCACAAAACACACCTATTTTCTCAGGAACAGGAACATCCAACGCTTTGACCTTATTATTATGCTTGGCAGCAAATGTGTTCTGTAACCAGCTGTTGACATGGATGCACCAACTGGTATTTGTCTTTCCTAACTGGTCAAATTTCCCCAAAGTTTTGTATGCTACACCCACACTATAGGATTTACAATCCTTCTGGGCCTTTACTTCCCAATAATGTTGTCCACTTTCAATAGCAGTGTCTCCTATAAAAGATCAGAAAAAAATTTTGATGCTTAGTTGTCCTTAAGAACCACAGACTTTTACTTATTGCATGTTCTACAGCAACAATTTCTTTTTTAGAGCAAATCTTAAAATGTAGCTCAGGCTAGCCACAAGCTCATGATCCTTCTATCTCAGCCTCCCAAGTACTGTATTACAGGCTTATGCCATCATACTCACTAAACTTAACTACTCTTTCCATGAAAATCATCATGTCAACAAAGATGCTAAATACAGAGATTTGCTATATAAGTTTACACGTTTTACTTATGTCTCTGTGAATATAAAATACTTCAAAGCCTTCCTTGTTAGAACCCCTTCGAGTATCATATATAAACGAGGCATTCTATATGAGCTGAAGTGGAGATTTGAAAGTATCAGTAGATCAATCTGAATATGTAAGCACTTGTAAGTAACTCTTGAAGTATTTAGGTATCAAAAAAGAAACTCCTATAGAGAGACTCATTCACCATATAGGCAAGCTTTCTAGATGTGAGTAGAAAGCCCATAGCATGCTATGTGGTCTCAAATCTGAGAACATTATGCTTTATCTTACCTAGGACTGTGTATGACTCCCCAGTAAAACGGTCTCTGCTGCCTCTTACTGCTGGTGGCCTAGAGCCTACAGATGTCCGTTTGGGGGATGGTGTACCACTTCTAAAAAAAGAATAAGGAACAAAAGGAAGAATATTTTATGTTGAAAATGGCTCATACATTAAAATTACAAATCACAGCAAAGTCTCTGAAAATACTTCTCAATATCTTGCAATATTTTATTTGATATGAATTATTAAAGTTATCAATTATAAACACTCAAATGTAAGAAGCCATCAACACAAAGCAGGCTGAAAATGTCATGCAGACTGAGCAAGGCTTATACAAAGAGCACACAGCTGAAATAAGAAACAATGCCAAAATGAGACAAGATTTACTGACGGGAAAAGATTAACAAAGATCTTGGGTTATAAGTTTATAAATATTTTGCATCTGCATTTAAATAAAAGCAAAGGTAGATCTAGGTTTCTTATAGAACCACAACTAAGTAATTATTTTTTATGAGTATTTGTGTTCTTCTTAAAAAGAACAAAATCTATGTACTGGAAATATCAAATCTCAAAGCATGTCCACTATTATAATGGATAAGATCCAACATGATCTCTTTTCATATCAAATAATACAAGCAAACTGGACATTATTAGACTCTTCACCAACACTCAAAAACTACAAATGGATTAAATCTCCAAGGCATTTTTCTTCTACAGACCAGGGAAATGCCCTCAAGTTCCATGGTGCACTTTTTGCAATCTCAGTTCTGTGTAGCTTGTCCATCAAGATGTTTTTAAGGTATGCTTTAATTATACTGGATTTGTACTTTAAAAACATTTGCTTTTTTGGTTAATATCATCCTAAAGTTAGGCTGCAGAAATAGCTCAAATGGTGAAATGCTTCATGTGCAAGCATAAAGATTGGTTTTCAACCCCTAAAATGCACATAAAAAAGTCAGGAATGGTGATTTGCATGTGTGATCCCAGAACTGGGCAAGTGGAGACAGGTGGATTCACAGGGCTCACTGGTCAGCTAACCTATTTGGTGAGTCCTAGGAAATAAGAGATCCAGTCTCAAAGTACAAGGTGGACAGCCCTGAGGAATACTGTCTACCTATCAACCTACAGTCAAGCACACACACACATACTCACACACTGAAGGAGGGTAGATTTCGAGAGATCATTCTGAGGTTATTTAGGGAAAATGGAAATGCTTTATTATTATTACTATTTAGAAATTTTCCAATACAGTTGCACTAGAAATTTTCTTCCAAAGAAAACTTTAGAAAATAAATACCAAATAAAATTAGCATACAAATTCCTTCTAAACACAAAACAAGAATGAAGATATTTAAAGTCATTTCATATGATCCAGTGACTTCGGTTTTCATTGTTTAAATGTTATCTTGCTATCAAGAACAGACCTATTAGATGGTTAAATTAACCTGGACTGCTTCAAGTATCTACTTTGTAGTGAATGCTATTAACTAGCATGATTACAACAAAATCCTTCCTAAAGGAGATCAAAAGTCCTTTATTTTTATACAATTTTTTAAAAAATACGTTAAAAATGAAAATTTGCCAGGCAGTGGTGGCGCACACCTTTAATTCCAGCACTTGGGAAGCAGAGGCAGGTAGATCTCTGTGAGTTCAAGGCCAGCCTGATCTACAGTGTGAGTTCCAGGACATCCAGAACTGCTCTACAGAGAAACCCTGTCTTGAAAAACCAACCCTGCCCAACAAACAAACAAAAAACAAAAAAGTTAAAATATGAAAAATTCATAAGCATAAATACTGCTGTAAATAAAACTGGAAGTATATGTGAGAGACTACTTATAGTGATAATTTGACACCTTAGAATAATAATATTCTTTTCCTTAAAAGTAATCTCATAAGTTATACATTATACTTAGCATGAAAAGGGATGAATGAGGACTGGCAAATGAAAACTCTGAAATTTTCTGGGGAAAGTGAGGGTGGAAAGCACAAAAAGGAACTGAGTGGGAGAAAAAAAAAAACCTACAAGTACTTCTAAGAAGTTCTCCAAGATAGAGGATTGAACTATATAAAATCCCTGAGTGTGGTTGCATATTCCAGTAGTCTTAGCACTCAAGGGGCTGAGGCAGGAGGATTGCAAGTTTGAGGATAGTCTAAGAGCGGGTTGAAGCCAGAGTGAGCTACATACAGAGTCTGTCTGAAAATGCTGGAGGGAAAGTGAAAATAGAGAAAAATGTTATTTTGAACAAATGTATTTTTTTTTCAACTTCTTCAAGAAGATTAAAAAATTTAGTAGATAATGAATTACCAAATATAATTAGGATACAAATTAATATACAGAAAAATTTGGCCTGACCAAATTTACTAAGCTGATACTTATGATGCAATGATGTTAAGAGTCATTAATTACTAAAAATACAAAATCTGTAAACACTGTCAATTAGTGATATATCAAAAAAAGAAAGATTCCACATCACACTCTCCTTTTTTATTATTTTTATACAAACTGCTGGGGAAAGTTAAAAATGTGATTATAAACACTCTGTGTTTTCAAGTATTGTATCTTGAACTAAAGGGAAAAGACAACACTTGTTTTTCTGAAATTGAAAAAAAAAAGTGGATAGACAGACAGACATCCCCCTTCCCACTGTTCTGTGGTGTGGGGGGGCAAATTTGCTTGAGGCTGGTAGTTTTCAAGACATGTCCTGAACTCAAGGGAACCCACAATGCCAGAGGCTCTGGTGTGAAGCCAATAATACTTCTCTTTTTAGATTAGCTTCTGGGCCTATTTCATTTGAGGAAGCCATTCTGTTACTTTGGAAGTATGGAAAGCACTCTTTTAGGTGCAACATTAGGGAAGCCTGAAAAGGAACAAAGTTAAAAATAAAAATAAGACTGGCCTAACATCGCTTACAAGTTATCACATCTCTGAAATACTCTCTGTGATTCACAAGTACTTGGTGAGTATTCATTAGAAGCTGGTATCTGAAACAAGCTTCTCCAGTAGAAGGCATTCAGGAAAGCTCACCAAAGACTACCTAATGCAGCCGCCAAAATGATTGGTCCTTGCTCTTTGCAAGTTACTTTAGTTTCATATATTGATACTTACAATAAACACAGTTTTAACTAATAAGTATACTTGTAGAAAGTACATTTGGAAACTAGAGAAGGCTTGGACTCTGCTTTGGAACAGCTGCATTCGGAGCCCAAGTCCTCTTGGGGAGGCTAGCATGCCACAGTCATGAGTGTGATTGCTTCTCAGTTGAGAAATGGGGAAAGAAAGTACAAAAAAATATTGCTGTGAGTAGCCAAGCAATGATCAATGAAAGATCATGAGAAAGAAGTCATAGTAAATGTGTACTTAAGGGTGAGCAAGAATTAAAAGCAGCAAGCCAGGATACTGTAATAACTGGTCAATGTTTGTTTTCTTCCTGTTCTGGTGCTAGGGGAAGGATCAGGGATATGCACATGTTACACAAGCACTCTGTAACTGAACTGCATACCCCAGGACCATTTGAAGAACTCTTAAAATGCAAATTATCACAGTGGTGCAGGAGGGCAAGGAAAGAAGTCATTGAAGAAGTAAAAAAAAAAAATTCTTCCCTTAACAACAGGCATGGATTAAAAGATGACAACAAAAAGACAATGCATATACAACCTAGTATGTGGTGCCTTCAATACATGGTTGCTATGGTAACTGAAGTCGCTTAGAGAAACACACCTTCTTCCTGTCCTCAACACATAGGAGATAGGCAGTATATTTACTAATGAAAGACCAAAAAGTGAAGTTAATAAAGGACGGTCTGACCTGGAAAGCTAACCAATATCTGTTCCTTGGAATTTGCTAACTTCCTCTCACAAGGCCCTGAAATAACAAGAATTCACAGTGCCCCTCCTTTCTGCCCCTCCTTTCCTGTGAGTCAACAGGTGGTGAATAAGGTCCTTAGGAAACAAAGAGATAGCTGCAACTCTGGTTTGCCCAGACAAAATTAATTAGCACACCTGGAGGCCCGAAGGTCTGTTGACCCTAATAGCAGACCATCGGGCCTCCAAGAATCACATACTCAATGGACAGAGGGTCCCACCCCCCTCCCTAAGCTTGTGGGTTTGTCTTTAAAAACACCTGGGCCCAGGGAGAGTGGGCTTCTCTCTAGCCTGCGTGCTGGAGGAGCCAGTTTGTGCAAATGTTTCCTGTTCATTAAAGCCTCTTGCGTTTTGCAGCAACTGGACTGGACATTGAGTTCTTGGGGTATCGACTGAAACTGGAAGACTCCTCATTCTGAGGGTCTTACACTAAAACAGGGTATTATTGGTGAAAGGCCAGCTATGCCCTTTCAGCCTTAAAACTGGAAAAAAAATTATGTGTCTTTAGAATGTTTTTATAACACAACATTGAGTACACTTGAGAAAGCAGAAGACAATCAGAGTCAACCAGGACATTTTTCCAAAGGACCCAAAATCCATTTACCCCTCCATTGTTGGGTTCAACTGTCTTCTGAAACTCATTTTGGAAACTATTTTCAAGATACAGTAATAAACATTCAGAGGATAGTAACAGTAGAAAGAAGAAGAAACATTTTACTGAGTCTGGCTTCAAAATATATTAAGAGCTCATCTGAAAAACCAGAGAAACAAAATTAAAATCAATGTGACTTACCAGTAGTAATGAGATACAAGGAAGCATGAAAAACAGAATGAGAAATAACTGCTGAGGTGACAGTTTAGCTTCAGAATTAGGTTAAATAAAGAAAATGTTTCCATTGTAATATCCTAGCCCCCACCCCCAACTCTGCAGTACATTCTTGCAAGGACAACAGCCATCACTTGGTGTAGAAAACAGTGTACTCTGTCCGCCTTAAAGGTACATTGACTACTTAACTGGATTAAGTCATTGAGGAACCCCTAGGGCAAATTGTTTTACCTGTTTTCCAAATGACTGGCCACCCAATTCAGCTTGTTCACTACTATAAGATAAACAGTATGTGTTCCCCTACTTTAAAATAATCACATTTCATATCGTCTATAAACAATTTAGTCTTGTAAGCTCATGCTTTGGTCCCAATCTGCCTTTTTTAGCCTTGTCACTCTTAGAGTCCTATACAACTAAATGTGCCAGCCAAAGTGTTCTTTAATTTTTAGATTCCATTTGTCTATTGTAGTTCTTGCTTCCTTCACTGCGAAATGAAACACCACAAATTCTTCCACTTCTGGAAGAATCAGTCTAATTACCACTTACTGAATGACGTTTCTTCCACATGCTAATTTATAGACTCTATAAACTATATGTTAATTTTATAGACTCTAGATCCTGACTAAAACCCTACTGTGAAATTTTACGCAGAATCATAGACAACTACAAAGGCAGGCTTCCAGGAGGCTTGAGGAAGGAGCCTTGGTGTTAGATAGCAGAATGGGCAGCCCTGCTCAAACCAAATGTGGAGTATATCAAGTTCCACAGCAGTTTCTCTGGAGACTCATATCCCTTAGCTAAAACAACACTCAGATACCAATCAGTAATCTTGGCCTACTCAGCTTCGTTTAGAGACCTGTTTTTTAAAGTGTGTGTATGGGGAGCCCGTTTTTGTCATGTATCCCTTACTTCATTAATACTCTACTCCATAACCAACGCAAACCTTTTTTTAGGGCTTTCAGCCACTGACAAGATCCCACCTATAACCTGTGTTAACTCATCTGACCTTCCCTGGGTGCCAATCAATAGGGAAAACAGAACACAGGGTGAGTGAGCTCCCTTTACTTTGCTGCCTTTCTTACACTATCATAGCAAGTCAGTAAAGACTTGTCTGTTGTAACTGTTTGGCACACATTTCTAACTGATCACCCAAACATCTGGCAGCTCTGAACATTTTTCTTGTAGTTCATCACTATATGCATTGATTACCTTGTTTCATGAATATATCTTATCTATATGACTTAGACTAAGTTTTTTTTAAAAGAAAGACAGTGTTTACCCCTATAAACCCCATAATATCTATCATATGTTCTACAACAAACAAGTATCTATGAAAAAGATAAATATATACATGTTGAGCAGCCCTAACCCCAAAGTATTTCAATACTGAAAATGGAGCAGTAATACAATGCCATGAGTAGGAAATGCCATACCTACCCTGTAGCAAGCTACAGGCAAAATACCATTACACTAAAACGTGCATAAATTACTTTCAGGCTATGGATATAAGGTGCACATGAAACAAAATTTGAATTTAGAATTGGGGCCCAACCTTATGATAGCTCATTTGTGTGTACAAATACTTCAAAATCTAAAATAGTTTGAGTCTCAAATATTTCAGATAAGGGACATTCATATAACATTACATAAATTACATATATAATACCCTTAATAGGAAAAAAGGAGAAAGATGTAATATAGTCCAAAGTGCTAAATACAGTCTACAATTTCCCTAGCTGCCAAATAAAAAGTTATGCAGTCTGTCAAATTCAACAGCATTTTACAACACAAATGCAATCACTTTCACCAGTGTAGAGCACACAGAGCAAAAGAAGAGATAACTGAGAAGAGAGCACATGTGGGTATCTGCAGAAGATACATGATATCTTCACATAAGCATCTTCTTACTTGCACAACCTGCAATGATCCCTATTTTGGCATTGTCTTAATCATTTTATCAATGATGTTCATTGTTTTTATTGGATACTTCTGAAATTACATAATTAGTGTAGAAAAATCCAAGCCAGTCTCATATCAAATATATAAAGAAGCAATCAATGTTATTGACTATACTGAAACGGGAAAGAAGCCAAGTATAAGTGAAAGCAGGGTAAAAATCAAAGGAGAAATGTCTATTAGAGCAGAGCATAAGTTGTTATCATATACAGTATAACTCAAAAGACTGCAGTATACTACAACACTGCAAATTGAAAACACAAGCTACCGATAGAGACACTCTACACAAAGCAGCATTTTAACTTATGAAGGCTGCTGCAATAGCATCTGCTTATTGGTTAAAAGAAATTACTCAGCCAAGCTAGATACTAAGTCCTAGAACTAGACAGACACAGATCATCACCTTGTATGTTTCTTCAGAGAAGTAACATGGGCACTGTCAGATAAAAATAGGCAACTGTTAAGACACTACAACTTAAATTTAACAACTTACAATAAAGCAGAATGCTTGCTGCTCGATTTTTGATTCATTTTTCTAATGTACAGACATTAACCATCAGTCTGAGCAAACCTTTACAATTAAAAACATATGGTTTCCATGTTCTGATTCATCTAGGAAAGTTATTAAAAAAAAAAACCCAAAAATAAAAAAAAATAAGGTCCTCAAGCTTGCCTTCTGAGTTCAGTGGGTTGCTCTCAGCAGCAAAGCTTGGGGTAGAAATATTCAAAGCTGTCATTTAGTGCAGTTTTCTTTCAAGTAAGACAGATGATCTATAAGCCTAGACAGAGGTCAAGAAACTTCTCTTTTAACTAGTTCAGATCTGTGTATCTATAACATTAAAAACAGATTGCTGAAATAAAAATGTATGGTGCAATTATGAAGAAAATTAAGAAAAAGGTATGAAAATGTTAATCACAAATTCAAGTTTTGATAGCATTTTCTTTACCTTTGAGTTACTAATATAAATCATAAACATACATTACTATGCAGAATAAACATTACAATTATGAGGTATTGTCAAATAAGAATCAACATACAAACACCTGTCCATAAAATAAGAAATTCAGGCTCAGTTATGGCCAGAGGTGAATCAATGTGTAAGCATTTATCCATATAACAGATTCAATAAACGGACTTACCTGCCCTTATTCTCTTTTCCTTTAATTTTACTTTCTTGGCCTTTTCCTCCAGTAGGATCCCACTCTACACAGGAATCTTCAACTTTCAAGTTCAAATGGGATGATGAATTATCTAAACTGAAGTTAAGTGCTGCCCAAGACAATGTTTAACAAATGTAAGATGTCTCCAATGTCTGGAACACACCTGGCATATTATTTCTTACTCAACTGAACCAACTCTGTGTCCAAAGAAAAAAGTTCTAATCCCTAACCATCACACAAAACACTGTCAGTGCTTAGGTTGTAGTTTATAATTCCCACCCATTTCCAATTATTTTTCTGCATATCCTAGACACTAACAAAGTAGCATTGCTAATGGTATCTCGGCTTCTATAGAACTCTATCTCAGCACACAGTAATCAGAATTTTATGTTGTTAGAATTTTCAGCTGGTTTTCAGTTGACTGTTTTGACAAAATGAAAAGGAGAATTCATACAAGTATGGAGGAATAAAAGGTGATATGGTATATAAAATAATGTTAAAAAAAACAAAGTATTCTCTGAAGCTTTAATATATTAGCAACTTCACACTTAAACTCTCATTGGTTCCAAACTGAGGTAAGTATGGATTAGGGTCTCAGTGACATAAGCAAAGGAACCTCGACAGATGTCTTTTTTGACAGAGTAGAAGGAAAAAACACCCACTTAGTGAATACAAGGCAAAGAACTATGCTTTTCAGATTATTTGATGTTTTAGGGAACTATATGTACTATTCAAAATCCTTGGAAGTGCTTATTGAGGAAATTGGTGAAGTATGCTATTAGCTTCCCTTTCTAGAAACTTAGGGAAAAAAATCATTAAAATGAGTGATTCAACAGCTATGCAATGCTGTTCCTTCTGTTTTGTGATGCAATTCCCAAGCTATCTTAGAAGGTATCACCTATATTGTTACACATTTACCTGCTTCTGCTACATCTCCTGCCAAAAGTTCACATTTTTGGTAATTATAGATTAAAGAAATGTTCTTTTACAACACACCATTCACTTACAAATATTAGTTGAAATTTGCTAAGGCTTTTTGAGCTGTGGAATAAGCATCACCAAACAAGATAAGCACACAGAGCTCAGTGAATACCCAGTGGATGAAGCATCCTTTCATTCCTGATTCTGGCAAAAGAAATGCAGTTCCAACATGCATCATAGTCACTGTTCATTGTTTCACTTATGAAACATCTGAATAAAAATTTACTGACTGCACAGCTCTACTAAATGTCATACTACACAAGGAAGTCAATTACTTTCAAAAGCTGTATCTAAGCAGAAGTAAACAGGAAGAATAATGTAGCTTTTCAGTAAAAAGAAAATTTAATTCTTTAATAGGTAGATACACTGAGATATTTCCAAAGTCAACTGCTTTATGGAATCACAAAAACAGGGAAGGTTGCATTTCAATCTAGGCTAACCTTAGGAAGTTCCTTCCATGAAACCCTTGAGGCCAGAATCAGCTTGGTTGCTCTTATGAACCCAAGACCCATGTGCTCTTAGGAACCCAAGACCAATCAATCAAGAGTCTACTTTGTAAAACCCAGACACTACCAATGGAGCAGCCATCAGACTCCCAGTAAACGGTAAGCCAACTGTTTGTTTTCCAACTAAATTTTCATAGAATTTACAGCTTGACACAGGTTCAAGCTTGTTCACCCACTATAAAGAGACAAGGAAAAGGAACACCAACAAGCCCAAAGATCTGATGCTCCTTAGAGTAAATAATTATAGCAATGAAATCTTTCTTGTCAAGGCCAAAAGTAGCTCAAGTCACATGGAAAAAAATTATCTGCCTGGAAATTTGACAAGGCTTTAAAATATAGAAACCTTTTGAAAAACAGTAATATCTTGGTTTGATAATAAATAATTCAAAGCAATTGTATTTCCTCATTAAGCTACATCTAATTATCAAGTAAAATTATTTGCTAATTCAAATAACTTCAAATAAGAATTTTTCTAGGTCTTTATGCCATAAACATTACTGAGTTTGTATCATCAAACACGTACAGACCTTGAAGGTCAAGCTTTTGCCTACCATGCACAGGGCCTGGGGTCAAGTTATAGGACTTAACTTTATTGTGATACATGTTTATTATCTAGATTATAGCAAATTTCTAGCATGCATAGTTATTAAAAAAAAACCATAGTCAGTGGGATACTCTAAGTCTCAACTACTGATTACAATGTAGTCTAATTCAGGAAGTAAACTCAGGCAATCATTACCTCACAAGTTGGAGAGCTCTAGAAGAATAGTTTTCAAATTGGCAAATATCTAAACATTTTTCTGTGTTACAAAAGGGAGCATTCATAAATCTCCGCTTCTCCGAGAGAACAGAACTTGGATTAGAAGCCTATAATAAAGGATGAACCCAGAATAGATTCTTATACACATCTGAGGCAGATCTAGGGACTGTAGTAGATATTACATATTTCAACTTTTCTTTCTTCATTTGTACTATGGATATCAGTAATATCTAGTAGTGAGCTCTCAAGATGATCTTAATGACAATATAAACACTTTGTCATTATTGTGACATAACTGTATGTGCTATGTAATTATTAATGAACTGTTGAGATGGTAATAACTAAAAGAAAATGTGGGGAAAATAGAGGGAACTTCTTTGTTGTTAATTCATAATTAATTCATAATTACAGACAACTTCAGCAATGCTTTATGTATTTACACTAAGGCAAAGTGTGAACTAATCACCCAGAGGCAAATATAATAGCATCACCTCAAGACAGTCTGATAGCTTAGTAGGCAAAGGCGTCTGCTATCAAGCCACCAACCTGATTTTGATCTCTGGGACCCACATAGTGGAGAGCAGTGACTCCTACAAATTTTCCTTTCACCTATATATGCATGCATGCTCTGGCACCTCTCCATACACATATGCACACAAAATAAATAAAAATGTAATTTAAAGCAAGAAAGAAACCAAATAAAGAAAAATGAATTGAATGAAAGTAATTCTGAAAAAAAATACTATCATCTCAGTCTATTTTACCCATATGAATATAATTATAAGGAAAAAACTCTAATTAAAAACCTCTACTACTATACTCCTATTTCTCCTGCCTTATAATTTGTACATTGGAAAAGCCAGAGGTGGCAGGAAGGAATTCAACCACATGTGAAATGACCCAGACAAAGTCTCAAATATCCTCTGACGGTTAAGTTCTGTCTGCTTCTGTGCAATGGCTACCAGCCTCACCTTTGGTCTCCAGGGTCACTGGATCAGAATATTCTCCAGCCACAGCCTTGTTGCAAGCTCGCACTCTGAAATTCATATACTTTGAATCAAATTTTAATCCTAAAAAAATGAAAGTTTTTAATTCATAAAAAGTAAAGACTTCCTTTCCAAAAATGTGAGTATGTATCATCAGACATTTTTTTTTCTCTTTAGAAATCTCTTTACTTGAGAAGAATATAGATTTCTGTTAAACAGATGATGTCTGAATAAGACAATAACTGAGAATAATACCTTATCTAATATTTTCTTCAAAATAGATAAATTACACAATTAACAATGTTTCAACATAGTGATAACTAAAACAGGACCTTTCAGACTCAATCCAGGTGTAGAGCAGAAGAAGTGATGAGCAAAGGGGTCAAGATCATGCTGGGGAAACCCACAGAAACAGCTGACCTGAGCTAGTGGGAGCTCATAGACTTCAGACTGACAGCTGGGGAACCAGCATAAGACTGAACCAGGCCCCCTGAACATGGGTCTCAGTTAGGAGGTCTGGGCAGTGCATGAGACCTCTTGCAATGGAACCAGTATTCATCCCCAGTGCACAAATGGGCTTTGGGAGCCCATTCCCTATAGAGGGACACTCTCTCAGCCTAGATACATGGGGGAGGGCCTAGGCCCTGTCCCAAATGATGTGACAGATTCTGATGATCCCTCATGGAAGGCCTCACCCTCCCTGGGGAGTGAATGGTGGGAGTGGGATGGGAAGGCAGGGGAATGGGAGGATGGGAGGGAGAGGGAACTGGGATTGGTATGTAAAATAAGATTGTGTTTAATTTAAAAGAAGTGGCATTGTGCTGGTATGGTGGCACATACCTGAATACCAGCACTTAGAAAGGCAACACAGGACCATTTGTTCCAGTTTAACAAGGACTAAGAAGCAAAAGCCTCTCTCCAAAGGATGAAAGAAAATAACAACAAACCAATGACAAGGGCAGCAACAGCAACAGCAGCAGCAACAAAAAGCCTGAATTATTTCATGCAAGGAGAGATGTCATAATTTACAATACTACATTCATCAATTCTTTGGAAAGTAGATACCCTAAGGAATTCTTATATTTATATGAAATACTTGTTTTTGCATGAAAAATTAAAGGAAGAAAAACACAGACCTGCATAGTTAAACCTATACTAAAATCTGAGTCCCAATATTACTAACTGTAAGACCTTTCACAACTTGACTGATCTCTGTTTGCTAAAGTAAAAATTTCAAAAACCGTTCCTTGACCATCAGGTGTGCTGATTAACTGTGGCACACTGTGTGCACTTCATGTCTCCTGCACAGAACACCAGCTCCATGGAAGGAGCTAGTACTCAACAGGACAGCTTCTAATGTATCCCACTCTGCACGAGATGCACCAAAAAGCTCAACTAATATTTTGTCATTTAAAGCATGAAAAGTCCTCACTATACTGAGATACCCTTTAAAAGGAATTAAAAAGGCCAACAACAAAAAAACCTTAGCTGAGTCCCAATTCTATGTGAACATGGAGGTAATCAGTTCTGAGCCAGTGAAAACAATGGTGTTCACAGTATTCCTGAAACGTAGAGGTTTAAGTAAAATAAGTAATTTCTTTACTTCGTCAAAAAACTTAGGATTAAAATTAAAGATCAGCTGGGCATGTGTCACATATCCTAATCCTAGAACTCAGGGGTCACAGTTCAGGACTGGCCTGGTACACAGTGAGGACCAGGCCAGCCAGTACTACACAGTGAGTCTATCTAAAAAACAAACAAAAAACAAAAAGGGAAAACTAGATTACTTTGAAATACTGTTTCCAGAACATTCTTTTTATTTTTGCTTTGCGTAAACTATTTTAGCAGGTTGCAGATATTAAGTAATAAAAAGTTTTACTGATATTTTAACAGAAATTCATTCACATAATAAATGTTTTAAAAATAAGTTTGGCTAATAGTACTTAACTTTATCATTTAAAGTAAAATATTTTTCTTAATTCCACTTATTTTCTAAGGATTAGATTCACAAGATGCTGTCAGGTTACCTGATAATGTATATTCACTACCCTTAATGTTATCAATCATTTCCCAGCATCGCTCATCCTTCACTCGGGGAAGTCCATCAAAGTTTGTTTTCCTGTATTCCATTATGAAGTGGTCAATCTTATTATCTTCTTCAGGCATTCTCCAAGCTACAGTTACAGAGTTGTCAGCCACCAAACACTCTACTGGATCTATTTCTGGAGCTTTTGGTACTGCAGAGAAGAAAAAGTTGGTGGGGAATATGAGTCTTGCATATTATAATACTAATCAAGTGTTTATGCTAGGTATTCAACCTTTGCTATTTCTTTTTTATTATTCAAATGTGACTCAGACTAACAGAAAGGGTAACCTACAAGTTCAAAATAATTATTTTCAAAGCCTCTTTTATTGCCAGACTATAAAAGTCTGTACTCCAAAGTCTCCCCATATACTCTAGGTTTATTAAAATCTTAAATGGCAACAGATAAGTTCCAAACATCTATCCATGCTAAAAATAATAGAGAATGACTTGTTACTTCTAAACATATTTTAAATCTATTATTTCAAATATTGTTTGATACAAATGAAATAAGTATTGACAAGCTTTCAATGTAATATGATTGAATTAATTAAAAAAAAAGTCTGTTTCCATTGTATTTTTAAGATCTTGTTTACAAGGAGTGGGCAGATAGAGAACTGTTGGTTATCAGGTATGAATAACTATCTTAAGTTACCTAACAGGAATAGATTCCGATATTCCAAAGCAGAGGGAGATGATTACAGTTGAACAGCTGACAATAATTTGTCATATAATTTTAAACAGTTATGTTTTTAATGCTCCCAACACAAATGTTTGGGGTAAAGATGTGATCATGAATAATTTTATTATGGCATTTTGCTTTGATTATATATCAAAATATTATACTATGCTCCATAAATACATGTAATTGGTGTATGTCCATCAAATTTCAAAAACCTTAAAAAATAATTTAACATACTAAACAAAACTGAATTCTTCATTCCTCAAAAATACGTATACGTTTTCAACTGTTTCTCCAGAGAGTTTTATGATGTATTAAAAAATAAATGGACTCAATGAGCTACAATTAACTTGTATGACTGTAAATCGATTTATTTTCCATAAAACGATTTCATAGTTTTGCAACACTGGCTAAGTGACACAGATGTGTCTTAATTGTCTGAAACTCTGCATGTACTATATAGATATCATATGTAAAATTATATTGATTAAAAAGAAAATTTATAAATTTTTTTTTCCTCTTGAGCATGGTGGTACATGCCTTTAGTCCCAGTATTTGGGAGGCAGAGACAGCAAGATCTCTATGAGTTCGAGTTCAGCCTGGTCTACACAGTGAGTTCTAGGAGCAGATAAGGCTAGACAATAAGTCCTTATTTCAAAAACAGATCAACATCTGAAACTGATGAAAATATCCAGTAACATTAATAAAGATATGCTCATAAGAATAAATGAAATTATAATGACAATATGCAATATTCACGACAAGAACTTTTAACAAAGTAGGAACAGTTAAGAAACTTTACTAAAAAAGAGTATTTTCGGGGGGTTGGAGAGATAGCTCTGTGGTTAAAGCAGCTATTGCCCTTGAAGATGACCTAGGTTCTATTCCCAGACACCAAATGGCTGCTCTCAACTGTCTGTTAACTCCAGTCTCAGGGAATCTCTCTTATGGTTTCTGAGGGTACGAGACACATACACATAGTGCACATACATATGTACAGGCAAAAGACTCATGCACATAAAATTAAAAATATTTTTCAAGTTGTTCACAATGGTGTATACATGTAACCCCAGCTCTTGGGAGGCTGAGGATAGAGGATTATCAAAAGTAGGCAAGCAAACTACAACAAAACCAAGGGGTAAAAAGTAATGTCTTCAAAAAAGCCTAGAGTTAACATCATACTCAATGGTGAGAAACACAATACCTTACCCCTAGACTGCAAAACCAGGGTGAAGATCTTCCCTTCTCATTATCCCAACTCAAAATTTTACTGTAAGTTCTATCTAAACCCAGTAAGACAAGAAAATAAAATGAAACAGACAAACTAAACAAGACCAAAATTGTCTTTGCAGAAGAAATATCCAAAGGGGGTAAAAACCTAAACCAAACAAAAACAGGAAGTGTTAAGAGGCCAGAATCCCTGTGGGATATAAGCGATGAGTGAGTGGAGCAAATGAGAACTTAACAATATGAACTTATTCCTTGTGGAAATTCTGCTTGATAATATAACAACACATAGCTCCCACCATAGCCCAGAGAACTGTGCAGTATCAGCAGTGAACCCCAATAGAAACTACAGAAGTCAGTTAAGAATAAATTGTCAAGCCAGGCATGGTGGCACACCTTTAGTCCAGCATGCAGGAGGCAAAGGCATCCAAATCTCTTGAGGTAGAGGCCAGCCTGCTCTACATAGCTCCACATCAGCCAGAGCTACATAGTGAGTCCCTGACTCAAAATAACAACAGCAAAAACAAAAAGACCCCCACACATAAACAAATAAACCATCAGCAATGGTCCATCAATTGTTTCAAATATAACTTATTCATTCAAGATGGTAATTATGGGGGAAATTGTGAAAGAAGAAATAGATTTCAAAACACTAACTCACTATTTGCCTAACTTTCCATAAATCTAAAGTTGTTATGAAAACAAAGTACACTTTTTATAATTACAGCAGTTCTGAGGGAGATATCTCAGTCAAGTCAGAAGGACCCGAGTTCAATGCCCAGAACTGATGTACAAATGCCAGGCACTGTACTAAGTATACTTGCATACTTAGCCCTGGGGAAGAAAGAAGGGAATCCTTGGAGCTTGATGGCTAACTAGCCTATTCTAATCAATTAGTTCCAGGCTGGTGTGTTGTAAAATATTTTTTTACATTATAATGTGTCTCTGCCTAAGACACCATCTGATTGGTTTAATAAAGAGCTAAGTGGCCAGTAGGTTAGGAAGGAGAGATTAGGTGGGACTTTGGGGTGAGAGAGGACACTGGGAAGAAGAGACACCAGCAAGATGCAGAACAAGTTGGACATACTGTACAAAAAAAGAGGTAACTGAATCACGTGGCAAGATGTAGATTAATAAAAGCAGGTTAATTAAATTGTAAGCGCTAATTGGGAATAAGTCTAATCCAAGGCTATGCTTTCATAATTAATAGTAAGTCTTCGTGTCATTATTTGTAAGCTGGTGGTCTAAAAATGTTTGATGAAAAAGTATAACTAAACTTGCTAGAGATCCTATCTTAAGAAACATGGTGGTCAAAACCTGAATAATAACACCTGAAGTTAGATCCTGATATGTATACCTGAAAATCATACCTGTCCCTGTATACACACTAACATGCACACATATGTACATACATGCATATGTTCACAAAAAGGTAACTGAGGCACGTATACAGGCACGTATACAAGTTAAAATACAAAGCAACTGAGAACTACCAAAACAAGCACCTCAGCAAAATAACACTAAGCTAAAAGGAGAGGGTAACTAAGTTCTAATGAATATGAGATCACACCAAAATTCAAATTTTCTGTGTAAATAACTGTATGAACAATTCTTAAAATATGATACAACATAAAAAGCAAAGTTAACATGTCACTACCGTCAACTTCCTTAAGGGATCTTACAGGTTTTGTCCTATGATATGTAACGCTGTTAGTCTCTATTGTTGTGAATGTTGTAGACTATCCATTGTCAAGAAAACAGGGTATAGGTACCCATGACACCCTACAACCTACATCTCAGATTAGCTGACATTTCACTCAGTGTATTAGCAAGAAGATTCTTCTATCTTCTGAAACTACTAAAAACTGAGGTGAAAGAGGAAAAAAAATTTAAGTAGTGATACTTGGGAGGAAAAGGGTTATAAGTGGTCTAAGAGTGATCTAGTGAACTAACACTTATCTCTTCACTCACATATGTGCTTCCAGGACTCTACAGTGAGTTTCTTACAAACAACATATAATTGGCTCTTTGCTCTTAATCCTTTTGGGCATTCTGTTTTATTTAAGAGTTTAATTCCTTCACATTTAATGATTTGAAGATTTATTTTATTTTATGTATATGAGTATTTTGCCAGTGTGTATGTACATACACCATGTGCATATCTCCATAGATCAGAGGGGGCTTTGGGTTTCCTGGAATACAATGTGCTATTACATGGATATGTGAAATCAAATCCAATCCTCCAAGAAATAAAGTACTCTTTACTGTTGAGCCGTTTTTCAGTCCCTACATTTAATTATTGATAGGGAAGGATTCACTATTGCCACTTTACCAACTGCTTTCTCTTTGTTTGCTGTTCTTTGGTTCTTCTTGTTATCTTCCCTTCTCCATTTTAGAAAGCCATTTGAACAGGTTTCATTTCCTTTTTCTTTACTTCTACTATTGCTAGGATCTTGGGGAAATATGTTTACCAAGTCATTTACATAAAATACTGTGTGATGCTATGACTGTTTTTTCATTCATGGTTACTGATTCATAAACACTTTATCAAAGCAAGCTACAGAAACTAAGAGAATAAGTAGTAATCCCTTTCTAGTCCAGAAAGGTCCCAAAGGAAGCAATGCTAAACAATCTAAAGGGGGAGGCTCTTGTGGAGTTCCCTCACCAGCTCCACTGATAATCCTATGTACACAATGATGACTCCACAAAGACCAAAATGACTAGGTTCAGAGAACTTATGGGAAGGTGAATATGCTAGAGTGAGGAGAAAAATGAGTAAAAACTCAGCCACGCAAAATCCCACAAGGAAAGAACCTCCTGCACCTAGGCTCCTTCTAGATTTCATCCTACTATCTCTTCACTGAGCTATTTATTTATACCTATTACTTCCTTTGTAATAAACTGAGTTTTGTGGAGCCGTTGAAGCAAGTTAATGAAACCTGAGGAGGGGTTGGGAATCTCAATTTTAATTTTATTATTATTTTTATTTTTTAATTAAAATATAATCACATCAGTTTCCTTTTTTCCCCCTCTAATCTTTCCCATGTACCCCACCCTCCCTTGCTCATTCTCAAGTCTTCTTTTTTATTGTTACACTTACACACACACACAGAGAGAGAGAGAGAGAGAGAGAGAGAGAGAGAGAGAGAGAGAGAGAGAGACCTAAATATACAAACACAACCAACTCAGTCCATTTAGTGTTATTCAAATCCGTATGTTTTAAAGGCTGATCACTTAATACTGGA